CAGGAACTGTGCAGTGATTTTGCAGCCTGCATTATAACATCATGTCATGTCTCTGTCCTGAAGTCCATCAAAGGAGCAGGTACTCTTCCAATCCACTTCTTGGTGCTTTTCTTAAACTATCTCCTACAAGTGACAAGTGACCACGCTGAAGGCAAACTTTTAAACCCTACAGAGTAACACTCAGCCAAAACACATAAAGCCGGTTGAGGGATCGTGTATGGCATGTTGGAAGACGGCGCATAGACTGACCTTGGGTGGTCTCCAAAGCAGATGTTTCCCAGCAACAAACACATTTATACAGATAAGCACAGAGCCCAATCTTCTCTGTTGAAGCTTGCTGACTTCACTTAAAAATTTTGAAAATAAAAAAGCTAAAATTTATATTAGAATTTAACTATTAAATCGATTTTTGTTCACCGTATTCCACTACATTCCTAGCGTGCCAGAAAGTTCTAGCTTAGAGATGGCCATACTGAATTTACAGATGAAACAACAGATTCAACATATATGACTGAACTATATAGAAATTGTGAAGACTTGTATTTAGTTCTAAGTTAGACAACTCAATCGAAATTACCCCAAGTGGCAAAACCCTACCTCAGCAGATATTGATTCTATTGCAGTAAATACTGTAAATGGCACATTGAACAGTATTTTTCCCTTCAGCAATCTGTTTTTTCATCTGAATAAAATAGAAGTATGACTAAAGCTTTTATGGTTGGGTGTAACATTCTTTATTGCGGTCTATGTGAACGCTAAGGAGATTCACCCTCTCTATTCATTCTGCTGACCATTATTGCTCCGACAGAAAGCGATTGGGAATCAACTACACTGTCTGGCCAAAAAAAAAGTCACACGGGCGTGGCTTGGCTATGGCGGCGTGAAGACGTGTTTTGCTCGAGCTCTGCAACTATCTGGGACTTAACAGTTGATCTCATCATCCTACACCACTGCTTTTGATGTCGACAAAGACTAAAACACGTACCGGCAACACCGAGCGGCATCCGACATCCCTGCAGCGATACCTCACTGCTCCAGCCGCCTCGACGCGCAGCTCCTCCAAATCTGCCATGGCCCAAGCGTCTCAGGGTAAGGACCCGGGGCCTTCCACCACGCGTGCATGCAGCGGAGCCTCGGCCTCGATTACACCTCAGCCCCCTGGCGGCCCAGCATCGCCGCGGACACAAACTTTACCTCCTACCCTCAGCTTGATCGAGGAGCCGGTGTTCCCGCTCTCTCCCTCCCCACCGTTACCCTCGGGAGCCGCACGATCCCTCTCCACCAGCGAGATCTCCGACATATTACTGTCTCTCCCCACGAGGCAGGACATGGCCGTCATGGTCACAAATATGGAGACCACCCTGAAGCGGGAAATAGCCGGCATCCACGTAACAGTCACCCATCTGGAAGCCAAAGTCTCAACCCTGTCCACAGATCAATCCCACCTGACCCACCGACTGGACCACCTGGAAGCGAGACAGGCCTCTCATGACCGGCAAATCTCCTCCCTGCTTCTAGCCCACGATGACCTAGAAAACAGGTCCCGGCGGAACAATGTTAAACTCCGGGGGCTCCCGGAGGCCACCGGAGCGGCGGACCTCCGACCAACGGTGATCGCCATACTCAACGCGGCCTTGGACAAGGCCCCGGACTCACCCCTGGAAATCGATAGGGTGCACCGTGTGGGAGGCCCCCGACCGGATGGCGACTCAAGGCCCCGTGATATTCTTTGCCGCATTCATTTTTTTATGGAAAAAGAGGCCGTCCTGCGCAAGGCCTGGCAGAAGATTTTTACCAGAAATTTAATTCTAGGGCCTTTTTAAAAAGAGACAAACTGAAGAAAAAAAATAGCATTTTTGTTGCATTACAACCTACTTTAGTTCCCAGATGGAAGAACATTTTTGCATATGAAAACGGTAATGGAAACTTGACTAAATTGCACTAGGTTAATCATGTCGCAATGCCTCCCCAGTCCAGTTTGGTTTTCCATGGGGCAAAAGGTGGTAAGGGTAGAACCAGGGCCAGCAGCTATCATTTTGTCAACTCAGCCACTGTACATGTGGATGTGCAAGCTTCATTCACTTGAGTTCAGGACGGAGGAACTAAGGGGTAGGGAGGTGTGCTTTGGGTTCCAGAGAACATTGTCTTTGCACTGATCACAAGACATGCCCATCTGAAATATAAATACTTAGCAGATAAAAGAGTTCACGGGCGTGGCTTGGCTATGGCGGCGTGAAGACGTGTTTTGCTCGAGCTCTGCAACTATCTGGGACTTAACAGTTGATCTCATCATCCTACACCACTGCTTTTGATGTCGACAAAGACTAAAACACGTACCGGCAACACCGAGCGGCATCCGACATCCCTGCAGCGATACCTCACTGCTCCAGCCGCCTCGACGCGCAGCTCCTCCAAATCTGCCATGGCCCAAGCGTCTCAGGGTAAGGACCCGGGGCCTTCCACCACGCGTGCATGCAGCGGAGCCTCGGCCTCGATTACACCTCAGCCCCCTGGCGGCCCAGCATCGCCGCGGACACAAACTTTACCTCCTACCCTCAGCTTGATCGAGGAGCCGGTGTTCCCGCTCTCTCCCTCCCCACCGTTGCCCTCGGGGGCCGCACGATCCCTCTCCAACAGCGAGATCTCCGACATATTACTGTCTCTCCCCACGAGGCAGGACATGGCCGTCATGGTCACAAATATGGAGACCACCCTGAGGCGGGAAATAGCCGGCATCCACGTAACAGTCACCCATCTGGAAGCCAAAGTCTCAACCCTGTCCACAGATCAATCCCACCTGACCCACCGACTGGACCACCTGGAAGCGAGACAGGCCTCTCATGACCGGCAAATCTCCTCCCTGCTTCTAGCCCACGATGACCTAGAAAACAGGTCCCGGCGGAACAATGTTAAACTCCGGGGGCTCCCGGAGGCCACCGGAGCGGCGGACCTCCGACCAACGGTGATCGCCATAATCAAACGCGGCCTTGGACAAGGCCCCGGACTCACCCCTGGAAATCGATAGGGTGCACCGTGTGGGAGGCCCCCGACCGGACGGAGACTCAAGGCCCCGTGATATTCTTTGCCGCATTCATTTTTTTATGGAAAAAGAGGCCGTCCTGCGCAAGGCCTGGCAGAAGGGCACCATACACTTTGACGGCGCGGAGGTCACCATCCTACCGGACTTGTCCCGACGCACGCTCCAGATGAGGAGGCTGCTACAACCCCTTCTCTCTGAGATCCGAAGGGCCGGAGGCCTTTACACCTGGGGCTATCCCTTCAGCCTTAACGTCCGTCGGAATGGACGCAACTTCATCCTGCGCCACCCGGCCCAACTCAGTGACCTCTTCTCTTTTCTGGAGGTGCCGCCGGTAGAGATCCCGGATTGGCTGGGCCCGGACCTGGATTTTGAGAATCGCCCTCTGCCCCAAAGACGACGCCGACGCAGTCTCTCCACAGGTAGACCTAGGACATCGCGCCCGGCACCATCTTCTAATGAGCCCTGAACTCCTGACCTGAACACTGGCCCCTGGAATACCCCGGAGTCACACACCACACGAGTTCCCTTAACAACACTCCTGCTAAATTCAGAGCCACTTGGTTTTACTGGATCGATTTTCTCTCCTCCCCGGCCTATACGGAGCTACGTCAGGGCCCTGACACTTGATACCCTCTACCAACCTGAACCCTAGTCTAGCCCTCCCTTCCAACTTCCCAATGGGAGGTGTACCCACCCCATCTTCGACCCCCCCTGTATACCAGCCTAACATACCGGGACCCCACCAAACTGCTCCACACTACTTAACAAGCAGTTAACATATCTACGCACCACTCCCCGAACACAGTGACATGCTGAAGACCCTGGTCCGCTGACCCCCTCCCCCTCACCAACCCCGAGGGATTGGCAGCAACCCCCAGGTGGGACGGTATCTCTGTAACTAATGGATCTGGACGGATCACCAACCCCCCCATTATTTGTTTGTTCGTTTATACCTGCCTGAGAAAGACCTATCTCAGCCCCTGAGCGGGCGACGTATAACACTGTGTACTGATTGTGTACGGTACACTCTCGTGGCCCTTGGGTGCAAATGTTGTGTATTGTATTTTTTTTGTTGCTTACTTGTTTTGTATGTGAAAAAAGGAAAAATTTTGTTTGAAATAAAGAATTTATAAAAAAAAAAAAAAGTCACACTGTAATATTTAGTTGGACCGCCTCTACCTTTGATTACAGCACACATTCACCGTGGCATGGTTTTGATAACCTTCTGCATTGTCACAATATATATTTCCATCCAGAGTTGCATTCTTTTTTCACCAAGGTCTTGTAGTGATGATGGGAGAATCGGACCACTATGTAAAATCTTCTCCAGCACATCCCAAAGATTCTTAATGGGGTTAAGGTCTGGTCTCTGTGGTGGCCAATCCAGGTGTGAAAATAAGGTCTCATGCTCCCTGAACCACTCTTTCACAATTTGAGCCCAATGAACACTGGCATTGTCATCTTGAAATATTACTGCGCCATCAGGGAAGGAAAAAAAACATTGATGGAAAAACCTGGTCATTCAGAATATCAGATAGGCAGCTGACCTCATCTTTTGAGGACATAACGCTGCTGAACCTAGACCTAACCAACTGAAGCAACCACAAATCATAACACTAAATCCAGGAGGTGATTTGTTTTTTTTGGCCAGGCAGTGTATTTTTACAGTTAACACAGGAACAGGAATAAAAAGGTGAAAATCTTCCAATGGGGATCCCTATTCCAGTAACAACTCTCTGAGGGGATTTTTGGAGATTCCATCTCACTTTCCGTTGTGTCTTTAGGTCAGTGAAAAAGACCAGAAGAGTTTAATCACCTTCCATCCACGTTGGGCATGCTGTGAGGGTATGACCGTGGTGGGGAGATCAGACTGCATTATATGCTTTGTAGGGGGCAGGGACTGATGTGGGTAGTTCCTACCCCAAAAAGAAAAATGCAGTCTAAAAACAGCCACAGCATTACATAAATGAGTTAAATGAATAAGATATTTGCATAAACCCATAGCAACCTGATTACTGTGGTCAAATGAAAGGAAACCTGAGCTTGACCTCCTTATGAAAATGCTACTTTTGATTGGCTGTCATGCTGAACCAGTGTGTTCAAGGCTTTCTCATCCACAAATAAAGTTGGAGTGACGGTCAGCATCTAATCTACATAGCGGCCAATGGCTGAAAAAGTATGAAAACCATTGGACCAGAACGACAGTAAGGTGTGTAGCATTTTCAGCAGGAGGTCAACAATACAGGTGCAGCTTTAAAAATTACGACAATAACTGATCAGCAATGTATAGCATGAAAAGTCACACACAGCCAGGAAAGTGGCCTTTTCAGAAAGGGGTCAGCCAAAGTAACCTACAATGTTTCTCAATACAGGTTTCCTTTAAGATCTGGTCAAGGATTTCTGAACAGCAATCAATCAGAAATGATACCACTCTGGCTATTAGAAGATGGAAACTGATGGGTTGCGATGGGTTATGATATTTTTAGTGAATAAGCCCTCAGTATACTTTTCTCTTGGGAGGATTCACATACACAGTGACAAGGTGTTCTGTCAGTACACACAGAAAACCTCTCACTATACACACAGGTGGTCATCAGCCCATACATACTTCAACAGCCTCATGCCAGCAGTGGCCCCCAGGTATAGGGGGGTGATCGCATGTCTGCTAGCTGGGACATCTTTCACTGCCTGGTTCAGACATTTTTCCAAGCTCTTTGCCGCATCTGGAGGAGTCATCCAGTAGCTTGATATTCCAGGGCCTGCAAAGACAACCCATATATCACAAACACATACCATAGGTCAACAGGCACTTTATGTGGGGCACATTCCTGGAGCATGACACCCTTCCGATTCACCAAACCAAAACATAAATGTGAACCTTTGATTCTGGCTGGGGAGGAAGAATTTTCAGAGGTTTCATAAAAAAAAAAGGTGGCCTTGTATATAAAGTTATGAGGACATAACTCAGCTGTCACACTCCTCTCTGGAGAAAGGAGAGTTATGTGCAGAGTAAGACATATACAAAGATCAGTGCAACAGAGGACAATAAAAATGAAGGGAAACACTGGCAAAGAACTTCAAAAAAACTATTAAATAAAGATCAAAAGGTGCATGGGTTTCTTTATATACCCAATAAAACATTCAGCTTCTTTCCCTGGAGCTGAACATACAGAATAAGTCGTCTATGCTTGTCCCACTTGTCCGCACCATGTAGGGGTGCTAAGCTGTGTGAACAGCATCTGCCTGGCTATACTCACACAGAACTTTTATAAATGAACCCCTAAACGTCACTAGAAGCCATGTTGCGTCTGTACCCTACCCCTCTGGTGACAGCTACGACCTGCTGACAAAGAGTGACCATGCAAGGTTTGTATTTGAATTCATACAGGTGTACGACTGCTAATGGGGACCTGATAAACAGCGTTCACCTGCCCATAAATGATCCTGCCTCTAAAAAATGCTCTGGGACTTTGTTATGTGACTTAGGTGCGGATTGTGTTTAAGCTGAACCTAAGGCAAAATGCTAAACACAAAGCTGAAATAAATACTGTATACTAGAAAGTGTTTTAGGTGCTAAAGGATCTATCATTCTGTTCATCTAGTCATGTAATTTGGACATCATTGCTCCAAAACATATTTTTTTTTTTTTAGTTAGGCTTGGTCAGAGGAAGAGATGGTTATAACTCCCATCAGCCTTTTTGCCACCTGTGCCCCATTGGGGTGACATCCCTTCACTTCCTGTCCAATAGCTACAACAGGAAGTGAGGGGAAATCTCTCCAGAGTGATGGAAATCCCTGGTGGTCAGCATGACCACCAGATACAACGTCCCCATTGGAAGATTTCCCACCTATTGCTGTTCTGATAACAACCCGAAATCTGAGATTTTCTTTCACTTTCACCACTGATGGTCACCAGAACAAATAGAGAGGGTGAATCTACCTAATGGGGACATCTAATGTGTACTAATCCCTCTACACTCTATCGGAAATTTCAGTTTCAAAACTTCAGTTGCACTTTAAGCAATAAAGCTGAGACAACAACCTGCACCCAGCCTGCTGGCAATTAAGTACTACCAAACACAGACATCTCAACTCTCCCGAATGTTCCAGGAGTCTCCTGCTATAAAGGTAGCGGCTCCCGGACACCCGGGAGAGAAACATTTTCTCCCGGAAAGGTTTAATCTGCAGAGTAAACCTTTCCCTACTGTTTTTTATTTATTATTTTACATTGGGGCCACCGTCAGTCAGAAAGAAAAAAGGCATAGGAATGAATAGCTAGATTGCTATTTCAATTTACAATAGCCAATAGCAGACTAGCTATTGAACCCGCCCACTGCTACTGTCAACCAGCAGAGTTAGACCTGAAGTTCTCCATCAGGTCCCCCTCTGCTGACTGACAGATAGCTAGCCAATAGCAGCCTAGCTATTCATTTCTCTGCTTTTTTTTGTTTCCTTCTTTTATTCTGACGGCAGCAGCTACCAGAATACTAGAAAGAAAAAACAGCAGATAGCACGGGAAGCAATAGCTTCTTTGCTATCTGCCATCATTTCAGAAGGGCACCTCCCTGAAATGACTTATTTCAGGTTGGGATCCCTGCAAACACACAGTTCTCCCTCAGCTCACTCTGTTATTTTACCCGTCATAGAGCTCCTAATATTAGACTGACAGCACTGTGCAATGCTGCAGAACCTGGCTTGATACCAGATCCACCCTCCTTCCCCTCTGATAAAGTCTGCCTGATAGAAAACAACAGACTGCCTGCAGCCTCTAATGATGTCAGACTCCCACAAAGCCTGCTGTAGCCAGAGATGATGTCATCTGTTGCCTGGGATATAAGTGATATGAAGGAACCCAGAGGAGCATTTTATTATTCATGGTAAGAAAGAGCCACTTTTTTCAAATTCAGAAATGGAAGGTGATTTGGTAATTCTGACATGCACAGCGTAAATTTAAGTCAGATAAAGAGCACTTCAGCAACCGGATTTCAGACCAATGCGGTCAGGAGTTACAAAATGATACATTAATAAATATATATTCATGTTTTTATTTATTATATGTCTTTAGGCTCGATTCCATGACCTTTACCTACCGCTCACATCACACATGCTGTGCTGACTGACAATACCGGTGTCATTCTCCTTATCCGCCGGCCACTTGTAGATGAAGAGAGCGCTGTGGGAGGAGCCTGCATCCAGGACAATGCCATACTGGAAAAAAAAAAGTGAAGCCAAAATGATAATACAGGCTAAATGAATCGAACAGACATATAAAATGAGCTCTGATTTATTTATTAGACTCTGAAATAAGAACCGTCTGCATTAACAACAAAACACTGTTGTTCCATTGGGGACACAAGTTCTGGTGACCTGCTGACCACCAGGGACTTTCTCCACTTCCTGTCCGATAGCTTTCTGTGGCTATCTGACAGGAAGTAAAGGGAAATCTCCCCAATTGGACACAAAAGAAAAAAAAAAAAAAGTTGATGGGTTATAACGCTCCCTTAATCTATCCATAACTAAAAAAAGTTTTTGGCTTTAGTTCTACTTTAATGCATCTCTTTAATCATAATTAAATTATTACATACATGTATTGTTTTAAATGCAAATAGGTTCAGTACCTCAATCTGACCTGGTACCAGCATCATGCAGTCGCTGTTCAGCAGGGCTGGCATGTTAGAGGAAGAAGCAGCACAAAGGTGCTTATCATTTCATGCACTAACATACACCATGCTGATAGCAGGAGAAAGCAGAGTGACAGAGAGATGAGGTTATCACTATGTTTCTTATCCTTTCACTGTCCAGTCAGATGCCTGAGGCAGGTCCATGGCAACCTGGGCTCAGAGTAAGCTGATTAAATGAGACTGGCCATCAGACTGGGGATATCTGGTGGCAGAAAAAAGGTAACGCATGGGGAACTCTCTGGATTGAAGTGGAATATTGCAGCAAAAGCTGGGCTTTTAAGAAGCATTTTCTTTTTTCATCTTGTTATTTTTGCCTGGAGTTGTACTTTTTTTTTTTTTTTTAGGGACAAGGCTGCCTTTCGTTGGTGCTGCCTTTCAATGGATTTTAATATGAAGGTTTAGTGAAAAAATGAACAGGTGATTTTTGATTCCCAGTAACTTAATACATATGTACCAGAATGACTCGCCTGCAATGAATATTTGATGAAGGACACATTCACAGGTTGATACATTTGCCTTTTTGTTACTGTAGATATACACCAATCAGCCATAACATTATGACCACTGAGAGGTGAAGTTGCAATGGCGCCTGGAAGTGTGTGGCATATATGAACAAGTGAACATTGTGTCCCTGAAGTTGATGTGTTGGAAGCAAAAAAAAAGGATCAAGTGTAAGGATTTGAGTAACTACGATAAGGGTCAAATTGACGACTGGGTAAGAGCAACTCCAAAACTGCAGCTCTAGTGGAATGTTCCCGGTCTACAGTGGTCAGGACCTGCTAAAAGTGGTCCAAGAAAAGAAAACTGGTGAACTGACGACAGGGTCATGGGTGGCCAAGGTCCATTGATGCATGTGGGGAGCAAAGACTGGCCTGCATAGTCCGATCCAAGCTAAGAGCTACTGTAGCTCAAATTTCTGGTTCCGATAGAAAGTTATCTGAACACACAGTGCATCTCAGTTTGTTGTGTATGGTGCTGCGTAGCCACAGACTGTTCAGGGTGCCCATGTTGACCCGTGTCCACCGCCAAAAGCATCAGAACTGGACCATGTAGCAATGGAAGAAGGTGGCCTGGTCTAATGAGTCATGTTTTCTGTTACATCATATGGATGGCTGGGTACATGTGTGTCGCTTACCTGGGGTAGAGATGGCACCAGGATGCACTAATGGAAGAAGGCAAGCCGATGGAGGCAGTGTGATGTTTTGTGCAATGTTCTGCTGGGAAACCTTGGGTCCTGCCATTCATGTGGATGTTACTTTCACATGTAACATGTACCTAAACATTGTTGCTGACCAAGTACACCCCTTCATGGAAATGGTATTCCGTGATGGCAGTGGCCTCTTTTAGCAGGATAATGTGCCTTGCCACACTGCCAAAATGGTTCAAGAATGGTTTGAGGAACACGACGAGTTTGAGGTGTTGATTTGGCCTCCAAATTCTCCAGATCTCAATCCAATCGAGCATCTGTGGGATATGCTGGAAAAAAAGTCTGATCCATGGAAGGCCTCACCTCACAACCCACAAGACCTAAAGGATCTGCAACTGATAGCTTGTTGCCAGATACCATAGCATACCTATAGTGGTATGTCTAGTGGAGTCCATGCTTCGACGGGTCAGGACAGTTCAGTTTTGGTGGCAGAAGGGGAACCTATTCAATATTAGAAATGTGGTCATAATGTTATAGCTGATCAGTATATATATATACATATATATACACACACACACTTTTTTTTTTGCTTACACACAATAACTTGCAATACCTATTAATGGGCAAATGGTGCTGTAAAATTGTCAAAATAAATCAAATCAAATCATCTTCAGTTCCAGAAACCTTTACACATCTACCCGCTAATGTCATTATTTATTATTTATGTACATCAAGTTGTAATTTAGGCTTACTTAATCGTTTTAATAAGCATGCCGGTAACAGCCTCTTTACTGCCTCCAGCCTTGCATTACGTCTTATGAGAATGTGTGGGGGGAAAGGGTAGAACAGGATTATCCAGTACAGTTACATCAACCTTAGTTTTTCCTACATTCTTCACCTAACCGATAATATGCAAACTCTGCAGTTCTTTTTTTTTTCTTCTATTTTTAAGAAATGTTTTACATTTTCCCTCCACTGGTAGGAGGAAAAGGGTAATTCCAGTCAGACTTCTAGTTCTGGTCTAGAGTTAAGCAGCACAACTAAGGATTAGAATTTCATATCGCTTCCTATGTGGTCACACGACAGGAAGTTATAAGAAATCTCCCCACTGGGGACTGAGAAAGCAGAGAGAGAGAGAGAGAGAGAGAGAGAGAGAGAGATGCTGGTTGCCTGGCTTTAATACTTTGAGTCACAGACTGGAAACATGCATGTTGTAACGATTGTCAGAAATGGCATCTCAAATTCCTTTTTTGACAGATTCATACAAAAATAAAAAGAAACAAAAAACACAACAGCACAAAAGAACAAAAAAACACAAACAACATGCCAGTTCATTCCCACCTAAAGTCTAAAGAGCATCCCAAAGCTGCTTGAGCATCTAAGAAGATATGTGTACTGGAGCTTCCAGGGAAGGTAGGGTGGACACAGATCTGGACCTGCTAGACCACAGCTTTATTTACTGACTCAGACAGTATACTGAGCAAATATTGTAATTAGTAAATCATCACCTTGCATGTAATAACATGCATGTGTAGGAGTGATCCAAGTCATGAAACTGGCAGGAACAGTAAATAACAAGCAGTTCACAAAACAAATGCAGAACAAAAACTCCCCAGCCCCCACCTACCTTGCATGTTAACCTATTCACAGCTTTCCCCCTTCCCTCAATGCCTTCTTACCTCCTTTCAAAGGCGGAGGCCCAATGCAGTCTTTAAAGCAGCCCTTCTCAACTAGGGGTTCTTGCAGAGGCTGCTGGGGATTTCTTGAGCAATGAGCATTTTATTTACTCTTAGATAAGTAATCACTGACACCAATAGGCTACCTATAATATAAGCATTCTTCCCACTGACCACCACTGTAAGGACCATTCTTCCTACTGGCCATGTTTAATGGGAATCTTCTCCATTGACCACCAATGTACTGGAGCACCTCACTTGCCACCAATTTAAAAGGACTTCACTAAACACCAATGTCCTCACTATTAAAGACTATGGTGTCATGCCGCTGGCTCTTCCAAGTGACGTTGGCCCTGGAACTATGCAGGTACTATCAAATTGGAGCTCAATCTGCCACAGCTCAAGGAACCCCTAGCAACCTCAGGAGGAACTCTGGTTGAGAATGGCTGACCTACACTATAGCTGGTCTCCTGCAGAGTGTGTCTGCTTCTAGCATAGTGTCATCTCCAGGGATGGCATGAGTGCACTGCAGCAGAGAATTCTATTTATGGCTTTCAGCACTAAAAGAGTTTGAATCAAACAGGTATGCAGAACAGATGCCATCGTTTTTGTCAAATCTTCTCTGCAGTTACAGTGCAGACTGCACACACGCTGAAGGGGAAAAAAACAATGTTATGTTGGACTGGGCCTGCAATTACATAGAAACAAAACACTCTCATTGCACAATTCAGTCCAGTTTCACTAAAGTGTAACATGAAGTTAAGTGAAGGAAACCTGTATTCATGTGAACATCCAATCACATGCATGAGATGACTAGACATTTGAAGTGAAGCAATAGCAGTGCACAATTTAGTAAATAGTGGCCTTAGGCTAGGCAAATACCACTCCTGCACCTTCAGGTATGTTTCTTTTAGCAGTAACCATATATCCATCCCCATATTACCATTTGGCTTTATCACTGCATCAGCACTTCACATCAGGGTCTGGACTGTGACATTTGTGGCCACACTTAGCTAAATTGAACATGCCTTTATTTACGAATGCATCATGTACTTTATTATTAGGTATACCTTGCTAGTGCCGGATTGGACCCCCTTTTGTCTTCAGAACCGCCTTAGTTCTTCCTAGCATAGATTCAACATGGTACTGGAAACATTCCTTAGAGAGTTTGGTCCATATTGAAATGATAGCATTAGGCAGCTGTTGCTGATTTGTCAGCTGCACATCCATGATGTGAATCTCCCATTCCACCACATCCCAAAAGGTGCTCTATTGGAGTGAGATCTAGTGACTGTGGAGGCCATTTGAGTACAGTGAATTCATTATCATGTTGAAGAAACCAGCTTGAGATGATTTTAGCTTTGTGACATGGTGCCTTATTCTGCTGGAAGTCACCATCAGAAGATGGGTACACTGTGGTCATAAAGGGAAGGACATGTCTGCAACAACACTCATGTAACCTGTGGCATTTAATTGATGCTCAGTTGGTACTAAGGGGCCCAAAGTGTGCCAAGAAAATATCCCCTTCACCATTACACCACTCCCACCAGCTGAACCGTTGTTACGTGGCAGGTTGCATCCATGCTTTCATGTTGTTTATGCCAAATTCTGACCCGACCATCCAAATATTGCAGTAGAAATTGAGACTCGTCAGACCTGGCAAAATTTGTCTAATCTTCTATTGTCCAATTTTGGTGAGCACTTGCAAATTGTAGCCTCAGTTTGCTGTTCTTGGCTGGCAGGAGTGGCACCCAGTGTGGTCTTCTGCTGCTGTAGCCCATCTGCTTCAAGGTTTGAAATGTTGTGCATTAAGAGATGCTCTTCTGCATAGTGCATACCTTGGTTGTTATGATTGGCTATTTGTGTTACTGTTGCCTTTCTATCAGCTTGAACCAGTTTGGCCATTCTCCTCCTCCTCTTTTCTCTTACCATTCCCTGTAAACCCTAGAGATTGTTGTGTGTGAAAATCCAAGTAGATCGGCACTTTCTGAAATACTCAGACCAGCCTGTCTGGAACCAACAACCATGCCACATTCAAAGTCACTTAAATTACTTTTCTTCACTATTATGATGTTTGGTTTGAACTTCAGCAGATCGTCTTGACCTTGCTTTGACAATGCATTGAGCTGCTGCCATGTGATTGGATGATTAGATATTTGCATGAACAGGCAGTTGAACAGGCGTACCTAATAAAGTGATCAGTGAGTGTACATTCCAGCCTTACTGTCCAACAGTACCAATGCTTAAAAGATTTTCGAGCGCTTTTAGGTTACATTAACCTACACTAACCTTCACCATAATCTACATGAAAGACAAATGTCCCTTTTGGGTGGAGCAGTCCTTTAAATTGCTGGAAACTAGAGTAACTGTTCATACTGCCCCCAACAACCAAGCAGGGCAGGATGGCATTTCTGTTAAAGTTTAATATATGAAGGCTTTTGCAATGAGCTAATGTTCATTTGAACAGCTGCGTGTCAATTATCGTTCTAAAATATAACAAATGGCACATTTTTGCACTCATCCTTGCAGAGATCACTATGGTGATAGGACGGAGAACCAGAAATATCGCACCGAGAAAGAATGCACAAGTGCAACTTTGCAGAATGAGGATACAGATGAGGCCGAGTCACTAAAAGATCGTATTGTGTAAAACAGGGTAAAAAAGCCACGAAAGGCAGAAAAAATGTCAGCAATGTGTTAAATGGATGATTTCCAAAATCACTCAAACACAATGAAGTGCACTGCAATCCGAAAATAGAGCCGACACAAAGTACTATTAAATAATTAATCTGATTTCTGATGAGAAGAGTTTAATGGATGGGTGGGGGTTCCAGGGGGGGTACAAATGTACCACTGCTCTTAGGGGACCTCCCTGCATACATTATCATTCATGTAACAGCTTTACCATTTATCTAAATGGCACTAAAGGTCTTCATTTGTGCAGAGATTCCATTATGTGTGAGAGAGGCTCTTAAAGGGGACCTGTCAAGAGAGAAATACATGGGCTTACATTGCTAGTTCACTTTTAAAGGAAACCTGTTATGACAAAAGTATTGAGGCTCCTACTGGTGACCCTAAAAATGCTAGCTGCAACCCTTTCGAAATAACTGTCCTGAAATAAGCATGCAGATGAGGAAAGCTTTAGTCAAGTGTTTGGGGTTAGAGACTTAAAGTACTGAGGCCACTAGATCAGTATGACAGCAAAGAATTTAGTATTTTTTAGAAGACGAGACCATCAACAGCAGATTCTGTACTTCTTCAGTACAGAACAGAATCCCTTTAAGATGAAAGATCGGGGACTGTCATCTTTGATCCTGGTTTTTCTTCAGGTATTTGTCAAGCTGGAACATACAGTATATGAAGCTCAATAGTCAGAACTGTTCCAGGTCAAAGACTCCTTAGGTTAGTAAGTCAGATCAGCCTGACAGCCTGCATCTTTCAGAAATGGCACCTTCTGGACTCCCACCCAGAAATTCTTTTTTTGGGACCCCTGGAATGTGAACCTTAGCAACTCATTGCAATGGGCACTTCAAAATTAGTGAGGGGCTCGGGCGTGTTCGCAGCTCCACGTGCCGAGCCACCAGGAAGCTGAAAACGCCAATCACAGGTACCGAGACATTATCCCGGTCCGCAGATGCAGAGATCGGGAAATGTCTCCGTGCCTGTCATTGGCACTGCGGCGCTGTCAGCTTCCTGGCGGGCTCGGCAGGTGGAGCTGCGAACATGCCTGAGCCCATCACTATTCAATATTTCTGTCCTGACATACTCTCTTTAAATACACTCCAGTAAAAACTGGACTTGTAAGTTTTTCATCCTGACCAGGTCACAGCCTTGTGTAACTTAGCTGTAACCTCATATTCTATTCACAAGACTGACTCTGCATTCAATAATGCACACCACTGTTCATTTAGAAATAAGTGATTGGTGCTCAACATCTACCCACAGTGCAGCTTCTAGGTGCAATTCATGTAGAGAGATACAAATGGGAAGGAAGGAAGGAACATATATTGACAAGGAAGAGACTGCAGTCCAACCCGGATGCCTCAATCTGGCAATATGAAGATAAGATAAAAATAAAGACTATTTGAGCAGCCGGTCTGACTAAAGTATTGTGCCAGAGCTGGCTGGATAAAATAATTGTAACTGAATTTTAATATTTGCTTTTTGTAGCCAACAGGCCGGGAATGTTAAATTAAAAACAAATGTTTGATATTATTATATGCTGCATTTCATGCTGCCACAGTCTGATCCAGACTTACTTTATATAACCCGTGTAATTTATATTCTGTACTTGGCATATTAAACTATTCTCAAACTATCAGACTATCATATTAAACTTTTTTCAAACTTCAAATCAGACAACAGGCACCACAGTCAACAGTTTAGTGTAAGTGAAGTCCTGGGATGTGTGTGGGAAAAGGGGGGCAGCATAAAAAATACACATGTGCACAAATACACAGCAGCAAATGGGTGAAGTTAGGCTCTTTACACCAGAGTCTAGCTTAGGTCCATCCACTATGGCCTCTAGTCTGCCTCTGATGGACTCTAGCCACAGCCCCCCTCCCTTCCATGCATCTCTCTCCGATGGCCTCTAGCCAGCCTCCTCTAGGTCTACCTCCTACTGCCTCTAGTCGGATTCGTTCAGAGATGCCGGGGTGATAGCCATGGGAGGTGAGTGTTGTTTTTTGTTTGCATAATGTCTTTGGAGCGTTAATTTACGAGTGAATCTATTGAGATCTATGAATAAGGTGAACGGATTAGGTTTGGCAGTGGGAGCAAAATTGAGGCCCTTTTGTAGTAGGGATGTCTCGTAGGGGCTGAGAGTGTGGTTGGATAAATTGAAAATTTTGATAGTAGAGGGTTCTAGTTTATTGTTTTTCCAAGAGAGGTGTGAGAGGGCATTTAAAATAGATCTTCAGACAAATATTTAAAAACAACTTTTCGACCCTTATATCATTTGTTAAAACATTAATGAGAAATGTCATGTAAAACATTATTCTTTAGTTCTGGAAAGAGTGGAAAAGGGTGAAAACCTCTGCCAAAGTCAACTGCTGCTCGGATCCTCGTTGAGGAAGTTTCCCCTTTTTTCCTATATTGGAGACAAAGATCAATTTTGAAACGGGAAATGGTGGGGCGCAGACAACAATATAGGTGTGTGTCAAACCCAAAAGATTGCAGCAAAAGACCACAAAGGGTCCTTAGACATTAGGTGGGTCATTTTCTTAGTGTGTGGTGTAGACCTTACTTACTCCAAGCAGATTTAACCTTTATAGGCAAGATTCTGAATGGTACCTGTAAGAAACCTTTTAGTGCAGACACTAGGTTAGATAATGCTTTCTGTAAATGGTGGATATCAAGCAGCCTGCACCAGGTGTGCTTGAGACTTCTCCTCCTGCACAACAATCAGGGGTTCCCAGATCACCGAAGTAAAGAGGTAGGGTAAAGTGGTGCCTTGCAGCAGCAGAATGCAAATACTGGACCTGCAGAAAAGTCACTATTTGCATAGGACCTTTGTGGAGGCTATAAGGCAAATCCTAACAGTAGCTTCAATGGCAAGTCGCTATATGATTTATGGACCATGGGTGTGTTTTAAGCCAGAGCTGGCCAAATCCAGGAGCAAGGTAACCAATGCTCCTTAAAAATCACAGCAGGTGCCGAATGTTTGAGGTTTTCCCTAGTTGCCAATGGATTTGGATTTTAAAAAATCCTGCTGGCTCCTGGCTTGGACAAACTCTTGAATTCTATATTATTTGCCCACCACTGCTTTTAAATGAACATATTTACACAAGTATTTTATTTTTAATACAAACACATTAAATACTTTTGTTTCATTTTAAAAGGGAGAATTTATTTCCCAAGTAAATACTTGGAACTGTAAACAGGGCCGGATTTCTCACAAGGCCAACCAAGGCCCGGCCTCGGGGCAGCAAGTAATAGAGGGGCAGCAGGGGTGTGGAATTCCTATTTCCCGATGCCCGGGTGGGTAGTTATTTTCTACATTTAGCCCTGCTTTGGGCAAGCAGAGCTAAATGTACAGCGGGGAAGCCCCAGCTTGTTTTGTACGCAGATCTTCCATTCTCCATGGGGAGTGGGGGTTTGGCGGGTAGGGGGGGTGCATTGAGGAACCTGGCCTTGGGGCAGCAAAGAGAGTAAATCTGGCCCTGACTGTAAACCTTGGAACACAAGCACCGAGATCTCACCATGAGAGACTCTGAGAACACTAACAAAAACTTTCACAGAACAGCTGGCATTTACCAAAAATAGAAAAATTTGTTTCACTGACCCTCTGGGTCATACTATCTTTATGAAGGCATTAGTAGTACAGGAACACAGTTTCAAGCTAATGGCCACAGTCAGTCAATGTGAGAGTCTGATGGGAAGAATCTGTAGACCTCATGTCCTCCTGAACCGGCTGGAAGAGTCCAGGGGCCAACAAAGCACTCAGTCTCCACATTAAAGGTGTAAAGTGCATAGCGGTATCAGGATCCTCCCAAGAGACCCTGTAACACACACAACGGAGCACTCAGAGACTGATCAGTGAACGTGTAAGATCAGTTTACCATGGATGTCCGCACTTCCCTTGCTAAAAATATACCCATCTGTCACAAATAAGCAAGCCTAGAGAGAGGCGAAAATTGTTTTACGCAAATTGATTTCTTCAAAAGGTAACTTCACTCTCTAACACAATTGATACACTAAGGGAGGGCAGTCAAATAATCAACTTTGTAAATAGCATCCTAATTCTATTACATGCTATTTGAAGCATTCATTGAATAAAATGGAAATGGTTTGGATTTTGCTGGTCAAGAGGGTGAATCTATAGTTACAGTAATTTCTAAATCACTACGGAACTCTCACATAATGTAGACACAGAATTCTTTCATCTGTGATAATTAAAATTGTTTTATTGTACGTCATTAGTCCACTAAAATATTAACGTTTTTAAGCATATAAAAACAGGTTTATAAAAACGATCAGGGCCAAGAAACAGGCTCACTTTGTTGGCCCATACAGAAACACATACTCGCCGTCCCTTCACTTCTCTGCCGCTCTGTCTGGCCACCAGCATTGAAGAATAATACTGGGTACTTTTACTTATGAGGGGGCATGTGACTAACTTCTCTCCTTACCATGTGATGGTGCTGGGGCTTGATGGATTTGCTGCTTTGGCACCCAGCACTGTCACATGAGTGCCTGGAAAGAGTCCTCAGCCCTGTGTAAACTCCAAGTCATTCTCTACAATCTAGTAGCTGAGTAGACAGGTGAGGGAACAAAAGGAAAAGTATCTACAACTGGTAGGGTTGGCATTAAGGTAACCCTGTCACATGTTTCTGCATTGAAAAAGCACATGTTCACTTTAAGGAGACAAATCCAAAGCAGAGATGAAGAGAACCCTGGACCTTTCTTTTCCTCTGAAGTCTTAGAGTCTGTGCACTTAGTATGCAAATAGCAGTTTACCACTCTAAAGTCATAGCTTTGGTATGCCTCTCTAATCACTCAATGCAAAATGGGCACCTCATTGACCTAGGGAAAGTTTCAAACACACTGCACACATGGGATGCTACCCTAGTCTGCCTTAAATCCAGGCCCTGTACGCACCCACCTTAGAGTGTCAGCATTCCTACCTGCCTTTGGGTACAGCCAGTTTTCTGTAGACCTGTACAAGCTAAATTTTAAATCCAACAAGGATATTAGAACTCATTTGTAGTGATCTAATCAAGTGAGCATAACTGGGAGAGATCCCCATAGTAGAGTCACCAAGAAATAAAGGAACTGATTTTTTTAACTCTCTGATCTAACAAACTGGATTACATCAGTTTTGGTTTGAGTTACCCTTAATGCTAAGGCTGCTGAACAGATAATAGAATGCAGAACCTAAATATAAACAAGAATAATGTTTTTTTATATTTTAAAAGTTACATTTAATTAACGCAAAAAAAGCACAATTTCCTTATGGCAAAAGAGGGTATCATTGTGTACCTGATTAGTTTTTAAAATACAAGGTCATTCCCTGAGACAAATATTTAAAACCTGGCACAATTCCTCAAAACCACTGGCAACAATAGAACTGCCCCATTGCAATCCTCTGCAACCTATATTAGTATACCCCATGTGGGTTAAATTTAGAGCCGAGTCACTGGGGTGCATGTCATATCAGAGTCACAAGCTGAGTTTAATTGTTTGATTTGATAAATCGTTTGACAGATAAAATACAGTGCCTCAACAGTTTTTATTTCATTCGAAATAGGCAAGTATTAATCTTGCACTGATAAGATGGTGAGTGACAGAAGGCATGGTGGGAATAATAATGATCTCAGATGCACTGTGACCTCGAGTTATACGCTAAAGAGAAGAATTCTGTCTACAGAGACACTGTGGATTCCGACAGGTTCAGGCATATTACACAGGCCAGGGAAAGACCTGCAGGGCACAAAGTGAGGTTTTTATTGACAGGCATATTCTACAAGGTCGGAGTCTGCACAGTGTTGGTAATATTTTCTAAATGTAAATAAAGGAAGAAAAGTCACATGTATGAACTTTGCTGCTTATCAAGGCTCTCAAGAATTGGTGTGGACCTTGGGTGTCCTTCGTGGCAAAGTCTTTGTCACCAAGAACTCTAGCAATGTGGTTTAGGCTTCACTGTATCACTATCCAAGGTCATGGCTATTGGATGTGCCCCACTGCTTATGAGGTGACAGATAACTGAAGCAAAGTAGAAAAACAACAGGCAGATCACTTATAGAACTAGAAGGGTAACGCTGGCTGTAGACAAACAAATGAATCCAAAAAAATAGGCCAAGGGTGCAACCAGAGTAGCAGTCAAAATACTGACAGGCCAGCAAGGACCTCCAAGGATCTTTTGATTAGAGCTGTGTCAACTCACAGTGCATTATTTGAATCTAACATTGGCTGACATCGAAGGCCTATCGACAGTCCATTCTTGTTCACCTGGTGAACGCGGCGAGGGCTTGTGTACCCCTTCTGTGGAAACAGTCCTCGCCACTTACCATACGACAATGGCTTCAACGAGTTAATGATATTAAACACATGGAAGATCTCAATAGCTCCATAAAGGGAACAGTGTCTAGATTCTCCTCCACATGGTTCTACTGGACTGAATTCCTCGACTCCACAGAATACCAGCTCTTAATGAGCAGTTAAGATTGACGGCCTGAGTGAGAAAACACCCTCCCCACCAGCCTTTTCCCTTTCTTGTTCCCTTCCCTACCTCCCTCCTCTTCCTTTCCCCCTTATTTTTCTCTCTCTTTTCCCTCCTCTTCCTCTTTCACATTGTATTGCCCCTACGCCCCTTAGGATCTCAGTTGTTCACCTGGCCCGGTGCCCTGAGGGCCTGAATGATAACACAAAGAACTCCTCATCACTTGACATATCTCTGGGATGGTTTCTGGTCTAGCACCCGGGATACCACTCTCGTTGTACGTGGCAGGGTGATATATGGGGTATTCCTATGGTTACATTGTGCTGTGACGTTTCATGTCATGACTAGGATATTCCTTACAGTATGACACTGTTACTTGCTCTGTATTTTTGTTTTATTTTTGACAAGAATTTTCTTAAAATAAAAACAGAATTTGAAAAAAAAAAAACCATTGGCTGACATCATTGGCCAGATGGAGCTTTGCTATGCTGCAACTGTCTATTTAAGCCAGCAGCTGTTGTGTAGGTGTGCCAAAGGAGGAAGAATGTTGAGGTGGAAGCCATTTGAAAGTACAGAGGTCCTTTATCAATGCAGAAAAGTATATTTGCTATAACGCAAAAGCTTAATTTTTTAATATCGTTCTCCAAAAAGACATAGTGATGAAATAAGTCTACATCCCCCCTGATATTCTGTGGCCTAAGGCTCTGGCATACATAAACCTGGTCATGACCAACAATAGCAGTTTGGAAGACTTTATGTCTACAGGGGTGTCCCTACAGCCACATATATATATACGGTATATACAAGAGATGGCAGTAGAAAGATCCTGCCATTCTCAATCTAGATCTACGAGTCGTGTATACAGCCACTGACTGCTGAAGGCTGAACAATTGATCAGGCCAGTTACAGATACTCTTCTTGTTGGTGATGTAGCTGTGTGATAAGTGGTGCTACCAGGGTGTGTCAGCTCTTCTCCTCGCTCCATTGACATGAAAACAACTGACCCAACCAACCAGGTTCATAAATGTAGCCTGACATAACAGCTGATAACAGTTTGCAGCATTGTATAAGTCACACACTCGCTCATACTTCTTGAATCCTTACACACTTATTTGCTTGGTCATACCAGCACAGGCAGTATTTAGGTTGAGATTGTGCTAAACAATGCCATGACCTGAGGAATATGCTGTCTTTGTAGAAAAGCCCCATAGTGGACACACACACGATGTGATAACATACAATCTGCTGGGTGCAGACTTGGGGAGGGCAGGTTGGGAATCTTGCAAGATATGGGAGAGTGATCAGCTCGCTCTCTCAGCCTTGGAGTTAAGTCTAAACTAGTCCCCTCTGGATTTTGTTGTTTCAGTAGTAAAATATGTACTGTGTGACTACCAGGGTCAGAAACTAACATCTAGCTTTGGCTGATGTGTACTTTAGCTGAAGAACAATTGGAAAAGCCTTCAACAATAAAGGGCCATGAACTAACAATGCCAAGCTGGTTTATACTCATTGGTCACTTTATAAAGTGCCCCCCGCTATTAAAAACGCATAGCCAAACAGTGGCTCCAAACCGCATCTTATCTATAAGAGACCTTCCTCTGGGCTGCCTAAAGATAGCCAAACACACAGTGCAATAAGGTCTGACATTGCTCGTGAATAGTACATCAATGAGCATTTTCTGTGGATGTGTCTCCTAGGCTGATGTCAGACAGGCGACTGTCCTGAGATGAAATCAAGAGGCTCACTGTGTGTCCCTATGGAATCACTCCCTCTATAGCTGAGGCTGCGGTATGTCCCTCCATCGATCCCATAGGTTTGTCTCTAGTGACAGAACCGCACATTTGACATTAGCCTTTTTAAAAACAAAGGATCTTCCTTGTGCTGAATATTTTGTGGCAGGTTTCTAATAGTTCCCTCTCGTTTCCTTTTTTTGACTGAACAAACGAAACATTAAAATGCGTTTAAAGCCCAAACTATTTTTAGTGGTGAAGGGCGATAACTTCAGTCTACTACTGTCTTTTTGCCCACCGGGGAGATGATGGTTGGAAATCTAAAACTTTACAGTTGTTACAAAAGCAGGCAAGAAGAGATCTTGTTGTGTCTTTGGGGCAGGAACTGAACTCTCCTGAACAAGTGGGAGTTTAACAATTCCTTCCCCCAGCCAAAAAAAAAAAAAAAAGTTTTGGCGATAGAAATACTTTAAATGCATGCGGAGACAGGACAGAATGGAACAGCTGCATCAGCAATGAATTTTACATTACAATCTTATCTCTGCTATTTATAATATCTGCATGCATATCTTTCATAATATCAGCCTTTTATAATATCTGCATCACTGCAATACCCAGCTAGCAGAGGCATTTTTGTGCATGTTACTCTGTTGGTGCTGCCTATTAACCAAATCAAACGTTTCCTTTGGTGTGCAAACGTTGCAAGGGAACAGTGTAACAAGCCAGCCACCTCAGTCAGGGCAAATAGTGTGCCGTAGCCCATTTATGATTCTATGCTGTACACAACGCAATGTGACAACGCTGCAGATCCCAAATCTCCTTAGGAGGTTTCTGCTTTTCTGAAAAGATTTTCCATTAACATAGAACTAAAGACTCCTGTATGACAGCTCAAACAAGTACCAAGTCCAGCTATGTGTTGTACAAGTGAACAGAAAACTTCCTTTACCAGTGAATGAGCCGAAACCTCCTTCAATTGTGTCTTACAGTGGGAGGATTTGCTCCACAGATGCAGTACTGTCACTCCAGAAAGCAGTGGGCAGAGCTAGGTGTGGCCAGATGCTGATTGACAATCTACAGGCTTGTGAATCAGCAGTGACAATGCTGATAGCCACTCCTCCTGCAACACTTTTTACCCCACTGTAGTGCAGCCAGGCACAGTCTAAAATTAGAGCAACAACTCTGCTCTTGATTCAGGAGCAGTGCAGCATTGTAGCCTCCCCATCACAGCAATCTGCACTAATGTTTATTTATTACAGGTATTTATATAACGCCATCAATGTATGCAGTGCTTTATATACTATTCATTCACATCAGTGGCTGCCCTCAAGAAGCTTACAATCTAAGGTCCCTATCTCACACGCACACACATACATACATACATACTAGGGACAATTTAGGCAGGAGCCAATTAACATACCAGCATGTCTTTAGTGTGGGATGAAAGTGGAGTACCCAGAGAAACCTATGCAAGCACAAGGAGAACATGCAAACTCCATGAAGATAGTGTCCACATTAGGTGGACTTCAGGGGCAGGCTCAACACGTGTTTGTAGGCCTTTGCACGGGGACCAAGAGAGAACTGTTAAGTGCAGATGCACTTATAATTGCCACAGCACATGATTTTTTTTTTAAAATGGGAGGCCATAGTTTACGTTGAGAACACCAAATTGGATTAACATTGAAATTCTTGCAGCTTTTGGGGTTTTATGTTATTACTTACCCCCAAGTCCTCGTTTGCCAGTGGTGGATGGATAACTGGAGCCCGGTACTTAAACAAAGACCTGATGGCCTAACTCTTTAGCAGTCAAAAACATTTCCATCTGTTACTGACTGGCAAGCTTTTATAGACTAGTATCTAGAAAAGAGAAAGTGACATCAATGGAGAGGAACTTTTATAGCTTCAGAACATCTCATGCTGCACAGAGGAGGTGACATCTGGATGATGGAAACCAAGGATGGTTCCAAGAATAAAACGAAACAGGCCAGTAGTGTACAATTCTTCCTTTAGCTCAGAACTTCATTTAGCTCTCAACATATACCGTACATTAAAATGTTCTGGCACATCTGTTTTATATCAAAACATCTGCTGTAAACTAGAATCCCACTTTAAAGTTTGGTTCCTTATCCACCAAGGCCAAGGGACAACTCCACCCTCTAAAATCTCTGTAGTTTTTGGCCCGGCCAAAATGCATTTATTGTAGCAAGATCCTGAAAACTGAAAGTAAATACACTCTAGGGATCATCATTATTCAAAATGATTACATGCGGCCAGATTCTGCAAACTAAAAGAGCTCACAGCTGGAGTCAGTCAAACAAAATGATTTACAGCTCAATTCAGAGATGAATGGAGGATACTTCAAAAGGTTTTTCATATCACGTCTGGTGATGAGCATTAAACTCCACCCAGAACTAAACTAAAAAAGTGACCCCTCTGGGTCAGGGCACGGAGACCTGGATGAATAGCACAATTGTATGATGGGCAACTGTTACAATGTTCACCTCTGGTAATTACCGTATGTATGTAAGGGCACAACCTTCAGGATTTTTTTTTTATGCTTGGGTACCCCTAGGGAGATTTCTCTTCCCATCCTCAAGACACAACAGGAAGTCAAAGGTAATCTCTCCAAAGTGAATGGAATTTCCATCTTAGAGGGTTGTCATGGAAGGTTTTCCCTCGCCTTTAGAAACCAATTTCAGATCCCTTCTCACTTTCTGTTTCTGTGACACTGGTCACCAGGACAGATGGAGGGGTACATCTTCCTATCAGAGACACAGACCACAAAACCTGACAAATGGTTATTCCAAAAAATGCCTTTACACAATCTATGAGAATCTCAGATGTAGTTTTCATTCTTTGCCTTTCATACAACTATTCAATTAAAAAATAAAAATAAGTCTCCCCACCCATGACCCAGAAATGATTGATTATACCATTGGCATTACAGAGTGAAAACGTTGATGAGTGCACACAATGGTAAAATGTAATCAAATAGGACATTGTTGCCTTTGTCTGATTGGGTATTCCATTACACACAATCAGAAGGTCACATCTGTCTGCAATCTTCGATTGACCATAGTTAGGCCTGGATCTGGCAGTTATAGACATTAGACAGAAACTTCTTTTGTAAAGTATGATGATATGAAAAGAAGAAAGGTGGTTTTACAACATGTGCATTCCACATTACCAATATTTTAATACTTCCCTTGTGCCACGAGTGCTGCAGAAGGTTCCAGGGCTTGAACTTTGCCCTCCTATATTGACGCAATGTGGCAGTGTTGAAAATGGTATCCCTTATCCCCCTTAATTATTGCGCCAGAAGAGCACCCGCAATGTATCACAGGAGGGCAACTTAAAAGGTCAGTCCACCCTAAATTGAGATTTCCCCATTTTTTGATAGATGCTTAAAGTGACACTAAACTCAGGAGTTAAATATGGACTACAATCTCAGTACAAATTAGTAACAAAATGTGAGGTTGTAGTCCACCATGGGAGAGAGCTTGCAGCAGTGGCTACTTTACAACACACGCAGGGACCATGGGGAACATAAGTAGCCCCCCTCCAGAAGGAAGGACAGTGTCAGCACCAATTCAGAGAAGATTTGAGGATCTACAGCCCAGTGATACACAAATAAGACTCATTTTTGTTAATAGTTAGGGTACTTGAATGCATTTTTAAGATTTAACTCCTAAGTTTAGTGTCACTTTAACGGTGCAACCAGTTAACACTTTATATCTCTCTGGGGACTCTGTGTGAAGTTCCCGAGTCTGCACACCTGTGACCATTGTTTGAGGCTCCCCTTCCTGCTGAAGTTTTTATATTTTATATTACAGAGAATGTAACAGGAGGAGCCAGGAACATACAAAGGGGGTGAGAACACACTGAGGGGGTGGGAATACTCAAGAACAGAGTCAGGAATTACGGCAGGGAGCATCCAAGTCATAAAAGGTGCAGCACAAAAGCTGCTTGAAAGAAGTTGTGAAGCCCCAGCTTATACTATGCGGTTAGAACATGAGCATTGTAATAGGAATACATACTAGAGTTGTTCTTCACAATGCAATCAATGCTGACTTAAAAAAAGTCCCCTTTAGTGCTTTCCATGCTGCCTTCCATCTGTCCATCACTTTTAAAAACTTCCTGGATTCCCAGTGTGCTTTGCGTCTCTTTCCCTGCTGCTTGATGTGATGCAATTCCATTTCCCAAGATTACATAACCCACAATGCATCACTTCCAGCAAGCCATGATAATGTTACATTGTTTAGATGTGGAGTTGTAGTTCAGAAGGCAGGCTCTGAGATTTGTGACCCAAGTGCACATTCACCGGGCTAAGTGAAATTGCGTCAGTGCATTGAGGAAATGCATCCTATGGGCATCTTCAGTAAGTAAGTTTACAAACTTCTAGATGGATGTGGTTATTAGGAGTGTAATAGAATGTATGGAAATTCAATATAGAAATACAGATTTATTTTTAGTTTTTGACCATAGATACCATTTAAGAGATAGTTCACACCAGCCCGCCATGCATAATACATATCCGCCGGTGTGTACTGGGAGAAAACAGTGCTGATGAGCCGATCCTGTCACGTTGAACTTTTTACCTTTTTTTTTTTTGTTAGAATTTTGTTTATTGATATGTCACAAGTCACAATTGACATTTCATTAAGTTCTATTGGCCACAGTGTGGTGTGATGCGGTTGTACTGTAGGCAGTATTTTTTTTCAGTGCAGTGTGTGCAAACCAGGCTAGTTGACAACAACGGAAATTGTCTCGTCTTTGTGTTGGGACTGCAATGGGCAAGGCTGCTCCACTGCACCCGCTGTGAACCAGCCCCCCTGAATCTCTTCAGTTATTCATGTTCTCCCGTGTATTTCCCCAATACAAAGATTGCGGGTGTAACCTGACTGGTTCATATGGCCAACGCTGATCAATAAGGGTCATTATTCCCTCATAAAATGTCATTATCTGGATTGTTTACAGCTCAGGCAATTTTGAACTCATTATTGCAACTCTTCAAGGGGAACACGTCCCTTGGAAAACGCCTACCGTAATAACTTTTGTACAAAGCCTCTTTTCACTGAAAATAGACTTGTGGTTGGAGAGGAGAACTATGAAAACAGGTATTGTTTTCACAACAAACTATATCCTGACATTTTTTTTACCTTAAAAAGGAGGCTTGTTGTTGGAGAAATACAGACGTCGTCACGGCTCTCCTCTCCTTCTGAAAATCATGGCTCTCTGGTTGTCAGGTTCATCCAATGGCTTCAATTAGGGCAATCATTAGAAATCATGGGGCCCTGTACACCCTACATCTGCTGCCCCCTGTGCCTCCTGCATCCCTCTTCCTACTCTGCTCACCTCTGCACCCCCTGCATTCCTCCTCGTACACTGCTTACCACTGCACCCCTCTTCCTACACTGTATACCTCTGCATCCCTCTTCCTACACGGCTCACCTCTGCACCCCCTGCATCCCTCCTCCTACACTGCTCACCTCTGCACCCCCTGCATCCCTCTTTCTACACTGCTCACCTTTGCGCCCCTTGCATCCCTTCTCCTACACTGCTCACCTCTGCACTCCCTGCATCCCTCTTCCTACACTGCTCACCTCTGCACCCCTCTTCCTACATTGCTTACCTCTGCAGCTCCTATGGCAGGGTGTGCAGAGGTGAGCAGTGTAGTAAGATGGATGCAAAAAGGTGAAGTTAACAGTGTCGGAAGAGGCTGGCAGGCTACTCTTCCAACACTATTAACTTCTGCACACTTTTCAATCCCTCTTCTTACATCGTTTAACCTACTTTCTTCTCAGCTGCTCACCCCTTGCAGCTTTCCTCAGGGCAGGACTCCAGCTCCTCCTGACGGAGACACCATTGGCTGTGGGTGGTACAGGGGCGGAAACTAAGCATGGGGGTGGACAGAGCCCAAGCACAGTCCAGGTGAGTAGGCGGGACCCTGATTGACCTGCCCAGCGGATGGCCCCATCCACGCATTATGGTAACCATGATGACAGACTCCTCTCATCTTTCCCTGCACAGGGGCCCAGACAACTATAGTGAAGAAGGGGAGGAGCCTGCCCATCAACTGGTTACTATGGCAAGTGGGCAGGACCATCCTCCTTCCCTAGAGGCAGCCCATGCCAGGCTCACGCATCCCTGCTGACTTGATGGGGACCAGGCCCAGTGCCTGTACCCCCCTCCCAATTAGCATTTTGCAATAACGGCCCCTTGTATTGCTTCTGGTATAGTTCTCCTGCATGTACAAAGAAAAGCAGATGCTTGCATGACTGAACAATCTATGGTCAGAACAGAGAACTGATACAAGAGTCACCCACTCATTGTGGAACAAAAAATGTCAGGGAGCTTGTTCAATTTAACACGTCAAGTTTTATTACTAAATCTGCTGCAGACAAATTCAACAGGCTTTTCACAGTGCTGTTGGTCAAGGTATACATGGCACTGCTGCTAGGTAGTATCCTGACTTGCTATCACTGATCCCCAATAGGGAGGCAGGGAGGCAAGCTCTGTATTAGGCCATTCAGCAGGGGAGGTGGGATCTTTACCAACCTGTATGGCTTAAAAGGATTAGTCCACCCAAAACTTATCTCAAGTGTCTGTTATATGCTGAAGAGGTAAACCACTTGACTCATCTTTTGGAGATTCTATTGGTGAGATTTATAAACAGCAACATCTGCACACATGCTGCAGCCATTATGACTCCTGTATAGAGACGAATAATGGAAAATGCAGTTTTCAGGGGGGTTCCCTGGAGTGAAGTCCATTACTAACCAAGTGCAAAGTAACTAATAATAGAGGTTTTTGTTCAAAATTCTCCTATGTGTGACATCACTGACCTAAAAACGATGTACAGTACTATCATTTAGGGTTTAAAAAGACAGCAACTAATAAGAAATTATACTACATACATCTTTGGCTAATGATATCATAGGAAGTGGGGAATCTTGCCCCATAACCCCCTTCCCCCCCAATGGTATGAAAATTCTGACCTCTATTGGGTCACTCTGAGTGACCTGAAGTCATCTAGGGATTGGGGAGCCTACAGCCTACACTCACTTGGAGGGCGGACATCCTGGTTTGGGAGCCTTGATGACACTTTGTTTGGACTCAACTGGTGTCCACCACAAATCCTGCTTCTTGGTCATCTCTAGTCCTAGTCTACCTGCTGCATATTGAGATTATGAATAATGCTACCAGAAAAGTGGGAACACCCCTGTTTTAACAACAGAAGAAACACCCCATGGTGGCCTGGAACAGAGATGGCAAGCAGATCTCCTCAGTGGACTCCCAAGAGCTAGGGGGTCTATGGGTGAGCCAGCCAAGGACACTTCCCCTGTAATTGAAATGTAATTTTTGAGTATCACCTTCTGCTTTAACAACAGAAGAAACACCCCATGGTGGCCTGGAACAGAGATGGCAAGCAGATCTCCTCAGTGGACTCCCAAGAGCTAGGGGGTCTATGGGTGAGCCAGCCAAGGACACTTCCCCTGTAATTGAAATGTAATTTTTGAGTATCACCTTCTGCTTTAACAACAGAAGAAACACCCCATGGTGGCCTGGAACAGAGACAGGAACTATAGCAAGCAGATCTCCCCAGTGGACTCCCCAAGAGCTAGGGGGCCTATGGGTGAGCCAGCCAAGGACACTTCCCCTGTAATTAAAATGTAATTTTTGACTATCACCTACTGCTTTAACAACAGAAGAAACACCCCATGGTGGCCTGGAACAGAGACAGGAACTATAGCAAGCAGATCTCCCCAGTGGACTCCCCAAGAGCTAGGGGGCCTATGGGTGAGCCAGCCAAGGACACTTCCCCTGTAATTGAAATGTAATTTTTGAGTATCACCTTCTGCTTTAACAACAGAAGAAACACCCCATGGTGGCCTGGAAAAGAGACAGGAACTATAGCAAGCAGATCTCCGCAGTGGACTCCCAAGAGATAGGAAGCCTATGGGCGAGACACCTCACCTGTAATTGTAATTTTTAAGGAGACTAAAGCAGATCATACATATACTGGGGATGAACGATGCAAAATGCTCAATATCCCCATCCACGGAATACATCACGGATGGGTAAATCCCCTCTGCCAGGCTATTGTATTCCGGCTGTCCGAATACAGGAACAGTGGCTGCAGCTGATTGGCTACAGTCATGGCCAAGAGATTTCAGTCCAGCTCCTTCATCAAAATTTGATTGAAAAATGTACTTTTGTCGACTGAAAGGGGGCCAACAGGGCCGCACACTGCCCTAATGTCAGCCATAAAGTCAAGTAGTGTATGGCCAGCTTTACCCCTTAAAGGAAAATGCCACTTTTTCATCCTAGACGCTTCCCCTTTATCCAATTCATTTGGAAAGATTATTTGTTTTGGATCATCCCAGATAATGATTTGCATGTCTCACATGATTTTCTGGCACAATTTTTTGTAAGTATGATATGGGTTGACCCTATCATGTGGGTGGAGCTTAACAATACAAAAGCAGTATACATTATTCTGGGCTGTGCACCCTCCCTTTCCAAGCAGGCGGAGCTTCGTTTTATTGGAGAGCATTGTTCAAGGCTACCGGCAACCATAGAGATTTATTGGGCAGGGTTGTGTGCTGCTCATGATGAATACCAGAATGATGATAAGGCCAACCCAACAGGTAATTGCCTTTTACGGTAAACATTTCATGGCTGACTGGAAGGTACCCTACATTATGAAAGGGCCGGCATAGAGGACTGATTCAAAGAATTCTCTCTGAGCCGTTTATTACAGCTTCAGCTCCAGATGGTGAATGTATCAATGAATTGTTAACTGACAGTTCATTTACTCCTTGGCCTCTTTTTCATGCTATTGAGAGGGGTCAAAAGACCACAAGGACAAAGCATGATGAATGGGGACACCCCTTCCTCCGCCATCTGGAGAGGGAGTTCCCCATGCACAGGATTCCCAACACAGCCAAACAACGGTAAGCGTGGCCGGCACGTCAAACCGCTAGACACTGGCTCCATACATTCACAAGGTTTGGCAACCTTGGCACTCCAGCTGTTGTGGAACTACAAGTCCCATGAAGCACTGCAAAATTCTAACAGCCACAGGCATGACCCTAGAGGCAGAGACATGATGGGATTTGTAGTTTCACCACAGCTGGAGTACCATGGTTGCCTACCACTGGGATTGGCGGACTTAGACGGATTACTTAAACTCAATGAACAGTTTGCAAAAATCGATTAATACAAATCTCTACACCAAAAGTTAAAAATGGAGGGATGAAAGACGACGGGATTTGGTTCCCCTGCATTAGGTCATTCAGAGAGGAACTACAAGTTCCAGCATAACAGACCTGACTGCAACTCATAGAGACACAGACTGAAAACCATATGCAGTGGAACTACAAGTCCCTGTATATAATACCTGTTTCTTCCTTTATGGCCCCTCTTAAAGACCTCCCACCTGAGATACATAGGTGAACAATTCCCTGCATACAATACCTGTTTCTTCCTCTAAGGGACAGGACACAACTCCAATGCTGTGGAACTAAAAATAACGTTCCCTATCAGCTTGTCCCTTAAGGAGTTCCTACCTAAGATATATAGTTGAACAACAAGACCCAGCATGCCACAACGGTTTCCCTTTGATACAAACCTAAAATAAAAGTCTATTGACGTCACACTGTCCCTCAAAAAGGCCAGATGTTCTAGAACTACAGATTCCATCATATCACCACACTCCCCGATATAAATCATTGGTTTCATAAAAAGGGCCAAAGTGTTCACAGGAGGGTTCTTTTTACAGGAGGAAGGTCCTCCAGTAATAGGTTTTCCTGCAGCAAATGCCTTGATACCCCACTCTACAGATAGCACTCTATATGCTGGACCTGCATACTCATAGCTCCCCAATAGACTATTCTTACCACCCCGAGTCCCACTTTACAACATCAAGGCATGCTGACACCTACAGCAGTGGGAATTCTATCCAATGGGGGACTGTAAATGTCAATCAGGGCATGCTGGAACTTGCTGTTCTCCACCATTGTGGGAATGTACAGGCTTATTCAAATGCAGCGCCCCAGAGAAGTTACTTAAACCTCATGCTGTGATTTGAGAGGGGTGAGAAGAACCATCCTGTGAACACTTTGCCCCCATTTATGAACCCAAAGATTTATAACGGGGAGACTTTCATAACTAAGAACCCAGCGCTGAATTTATCATGTGATAATTTAGCATGTGATATCCGATTTTCGTTGTCAGATACAAAAGCGTCAGATACAAGGTGTCTGTGAAAGTTATTTTAAAACATGACAAGCTATCGCGAATATTAAAGCGGTGTGAACAGCGACTAGAATGTGAGACATTCTGTAACCACTTAACCGCCAGAGTCCATCCTGTATTGATGTACAGCGCTTATACCAGAGGGAGATGGTTACCGACCTACTGCTACAAGTAACGTGTGCTTACTCATTGTTATGCTGGAAAGGAAATAAATTATATATATCTATATATCTACACATATCACTGCAAATAAATACATTTCGAAGTGCATTTTCATTAGCAAACATTAGTGATAGAATATGGATGAGTAGCAGAGTCAAGCCAGTGTAAGTAGCGGGTTAGGTGTACATATATATACACATACACTGTACGTATGTTGTGTAAGTGTACACAGCTGTGGGTGGGTGTGTTTGTCACCACAACACATGGCTCACACCTAGCAGATGGGCAGCAACCCCTGATCCAGCACAGTGCATTGTAATTGCAATAACCCCGAGAGCTGTCAGTAGGTTTCAGTGCATGCACTCACCTTAAACTTTGGGGGTTCAGTGATCTCCCTAGCAGGAAGGGCCAGCAGCAGGATCCCAATGACCCCGATCACACACAGCACAAGGGGTAGGAGGACCGCCAGCACCTTCTTTGCCATCTCTAGCAGCTGTATGGACTGGCTGGTCCTTTCCGCTCTTACAAGGAGCAGACAGAAGGAGGGAGGAGGAGGAGGAGGAGGCCTGACCAGTTCTGTCTTCTCATTGGCTGGGAAGGTGCAATAGGTGAAATGGGAAAGGCTGAATGTGTCAGCAGTATATACACACACACAGGAACAGGTCATAGGTATAGCCTGGCCAGAGAATTGTAATATGTATTTGAATGAAATGTAGTCTCTTCTGTTAACTCCTGGGGATCATTCTGCAGTGGGAAGCTGAATTGCTGTGCTCATCAGAACCCATCCAACCAATCAGGTGCTTGCTGACACTTTCTTACCTGAATGAGAAAGCTGATTGGTGGGTATGAGCAAAAGATGATTCTTTGCGGTATATATTGTTGTATATTTATTTGGTGTAGTTTGGGGAAGAGAGGATCAAGTCATCAATTTCCCTTTACAGGGAAGCAAAAATATGATTATTCGGTAGATGGTAAAAGAGCAAGGGCAGCTCAGGATTTTCTGTAGGTAACCTTGTAGATTAAGGTCCCATTCACACTGGTCGGATGCGTTAATCATATGGCTTTGTGTGAATAACACACTGTATCACACAACGCACCTACTGTGGGCTAACAGTGCAGGAGGTGCATTGCGTTTCCATTCATTTAAATGGCATCGCAAATGCACCTCCCGCCTGCGATGCGCTTGCTCATGCCGCAACATGTGGTACCACAATACTGTGCGTTGCGTTGGTGTGGTTTGTTTAAAAAAAGTAGTGCATGCGCTACTTTTTTTAATCGCACTGCAACCCACGATATTGCGGTCCCGTGTGTTGCGTCACGATGGAAAGCATTGTGGATAGAAGGTGTGTTTGAGGTTGCATTCAAGTGAATGGCAACGCAATGCACCTCCGGCTCTGTTATTGCATGGTAGGTGAGTTGCGCAGTATGGTGCATTGATCGCACAAATTGCTTAATTGTCGTGGTTTGTGCTGCAAAAAAGGACTACATGCAGTACTTTTTTTAACTGCAGTGTGTCGCGACGCAGCACATTGCGATGCAGTGAAAAGAACTGAATCAGATGTTACTTTGTGGCATTCCAATAAACTTTCAGCGCGATGCGTTGTTTTCAACGCACATGCACCTCCCCAGACACAGAGCACACCAGTGGCTGTTTTCTAATGCAGCTGCTGGTGTGAAATGAGCCCTATTACATGAAAATGTATTCGATATAGGAATCCCACCCTTGATGCTTTCCTATGTGACTGATTCACACCTACAAGCTGCAGTTTATTGTGTTCTTAAAGGGAATTATTAAAGGGAACATTCTAATCTACACATGTATTCTTCCACATGCTACAATGAGTCTGCACAGGTGTGAGTGTGGCCCTAATGTGCCAGTCTTAGCTAATACAAATAGATCATTAAAATAATATTCATAATATTATTACCACATTTTGCTTATATATCATTGTTTAAAACCAACATTTTCACAACAAACAAATAAGAAGACTGATCTCCAGGTGGATGAAATACACTTATGTGGCAGCTGTTTTAACTGCTAAAGGATCTGTATCTCTGTCCATCCAGTTCTGAGATTTACACAGCTCTGCCTCATAGCACAGCCCTGTCTGGCAGTGAAGATAAACTGATTTTGATTTTTCTCCCCCAGCACTGCAAGGGTTATGTGCTCGTTTTCTTTATGGAATTTAAATAAAACAGATATACTTACCTGATCTTCGGTCCCACTGGGCTGCTAGACTGCTCACTACAACTTTTCTTCCCCAGTCTAAGGACCGCTAATACCATCAGCTTTTATTGCTGTCTCTGTCACCGGTGGGAAGATTCTATTTGTCCAGGTTCCATCGTCACCAGATGGGAAATCCAAAATTTTACAGATTTACCGATAGCTCTATACCAGGAGGTGAGTGGCAACCTTCCAGTGAGGACACCTGTTTTAGTGACAACTGTCTAAGGGCCCATTCACACTGCTGTATTGTACTAATCACTTGGGGGCGGTGACACCAATAGTTACCACAGTGGGTGACACCATCCCTAGTGACGCCTCTGAGGAGTCGCCCTTTCAGATCAGAGTCCTCTTCACATGAAAGTCCCTCCTACACAACAGAAACCTGCCCTTCACATCAGGAGCCCCCCCTTGACATCAGAGCCCCCCCCCCCTTCACTTCAGGAATCAGAGTCCCCTCTTACATCAAGAGCCCTCTTTACCTCAGAGTCCCCCCTTCACATCTGAAGCCCCATGTACCTCAGAGTCCCCTCTTACATCAAGAGCCCTCTTCACCTCAGAGTCCTCCCTTCACATCAGAAGCCCCATGTACATATGAGTCCCCTCTTACATCAAATGCCCTCTTCACCTCAGTGTTCCCCTTCACATCAGAAGCCCCATGTACGTCAGAGTCTCCTCTTACATCAAGCACCCTCTTCACCTCAGAGTCCCCCTTCACATCAGAAGCCACATGTATGTCAGAGTCCCCTCTTACATCAAGAGCCCTCTTCACCTCAGAGTCCCCCTTCACATCAGAAGCCCCATGTACATCAGAGTCCCCTCTTACATCAAGCACCCTCTTCACCTCAGAGTCCTCCCTTCACATCAGAAGCCCCATGTAAACACAGTATAGTGGTCAGCTGTGTGACGTACCGTACAAAGGAAAGTATTAACCCACAGTGCAGAGGTGAGTGGTGTGACGCACAGTACAGAGGTCAGCGGTCTAACGCACAGTGCAGAGGTCAGTGGTGTACGCACAGTACAAACGTCAGTAATAACGCACAGTGCAGAGGTCAGCAGAGTCATGCAGTGTAATGTAGAGGTCAGTATGTAATGTGGTGCAGCGGTGTAATGTAGAGGTCAATATAGAAGCCCCATGTACGTCAGAGTCCCCTCTTACATCAAGAGCCCTCTTCACCTCAGAGTCCCCCTTCACATCAGAAGCCCCACGTACGCCAGAGTCTCCTCTTACATTAAGCGCCCTCTTCACCTCAGAGTCCTCCCTTCACATCAGAAGCCCCATGTACGTCAGAGTCCCCTCTTACATCAAGAGCCCTCTTCACCTCAGAGTCCCCCTTCACATCAGAAGCCCCACGTACGCCAGAGTCTCCTCTTACATTAAGCGCCCTCTTCACCTCAGAGTCCTCCCTTCACATCAGAAGCCCCATGTACGTCAGAGTCCCCTCTTACATCAAGAGCCCTCTTCACCTCAGAGTCCCCCTTCACATCAGAAGCCCCATGTATGTCAGAGTCCCCTCTTACATCAAGAGCTCTCTTCACCTCAGAGTCCTCCATTCACGTCAGAAGCCCCATGTACATCAGAGTTCCCTCTTACATCAAGAGCCCTCTTCACCTCAGAGTCCTCCATTCACGTCAGAAGCCCCATGTACATCAGAGTCCCCTCTTACATCAAGAGCCCTCTTGATCTCAGCGTCCCCCTTCACATCAGAAGCCTGCCTACGCCATGGAAAACCATGATGCCGTGTGAAATTTGTGAGTCACCCATGAAGAAGGCAGAAGGTACCCCAGGTTACCATGGGTCACCCTGGTTGATAAAGGCTGCATAACAGCACCACAACAGGTGAATGGGCCCTAAAGGGTTTTTTTGTACAGATGAACTCAATTTACCGTATGCATGTTACATTTCCAATTTTGTATTTTGCATGTAAAAGTAAAAGCCAGAAAGATGATCTCATAGGTTGCAATACTAATAATGAATTATTAATGTTAATGAATTATTAATATTAATAATTACTAATACTACTTTCTGAGACCAGAGCCACGCCGATGCTTTGCGCGTAGGTGTGCTGCAGTGCTATTTATTCTGTATGGCCCCCCAATACACCAGGGTTGCAGCACTCCTCAACGCAAGGAGAGGCACTCCTGTGCATTCTGGGGCGCCCCAGTGTTACAAATAGTGCACACACCTTGACAGTGCATTTTGGTGAGCATGGAAATAAATATGCTGCACTAACACAATGCACGTTACGCACGTGTGTTAGCGCACCAAGAAGATGTGAATGGGCCCCCAAATATTTCTAAAACAAAAACGTTTGTAGTTTTAGGGAAGGATAAGAACAGGTTTTTATTGCTGTCTCTGTTCCCGGGGGGAAGATTCACTCTCTCTACTTGTCCAGGGACCATCGTCACCAGAACAGAAAGTGATGGGAAAAGGGAAATCCAAATTTTACAATTGTCACTAGACCAGGAGGTGAGGGGAAACCTTCCAGTGAGGACACCTGTTTTAGTGACAACTGTCTACGGCCCCATTCACACTGCTGTATTGTGCTAATCACTTGGGGGGGTGACACCAATTGTTACCACACTGGGTGACACCAACCCTAGTGACGCCTCTGAGGAGTTGCCCTTTCACATCAGAGTCCTCCTTCACATGAAGTCCCCCCTACACATCAGAGCCCATTCACACTGTTGTATTGTGCTAATCATATGGTTGTACTACTTTTTTCCACAGCATTGTAATGCATAGTATTGCTGGGAGGCGGGTTGGGCTGCCATTGAGAATCAATGGCAACGCAAAACACCAGGACAAGGTACCGTGTGCTAGCTGTGCTGTGCAATAGTGTGCGCTAAATGTACATGTAGCGCTACCCCCGCAAGGGCCGCTGTAATATACGGGCCTTCTGTCCCACACCAGTGATGACTCACCCTCACCTACATAAGCCTTGTGATTAGTGCAATGTTCCAGTGTGAATGAGCCCTTAACAAAGCTGTCCCTATAATGAGGCAGCCTGAGACGGCTGCCTCAGGCGGCATAGTAGTCGTGTAGGAGGCCCTTTCTGGCAAGAGCGTCCAAGGTTGCTAAGAGCTCTTAGCAACCTGTGACGTTCTGGCCGGCATCCCACCCAGCTCACTGACCCCCTGGCTGGCATCTGTCGCAGCTCCCGGGAACCAGTCACGTCAGTGAGCTGGGTGTGACGCCAGACCCCCCCCCCCCCCCCAGATGGCTG